TAAATCTGAGTCAAACCATACCAAGAAAGCAATGTTTACTACAATTGAAGTTACTTTTTAAATTTAGTATATATTTTATAAACATATCAATATCATTTCTGTTTCTTATCCTTTTTATTTCTCCCTTCTCTAGCTATTCCACCAACAGTCCCAGATGGCCTTAAACAATGTTTCCCAAAGCATGGTACAAATAGTGCTGATGGTACCTATGATGGTTGTATGTGGTTCAAGGAGGTTTTACTTTTATAGTCAATATATATAATAAAACAATATAATGAAACACATCAACCTGTGAATTCCCAGGCATAAAATTTAAATAAGTACTTTTATACAAAATAAAGTGGGTCAACTTAATAAAGTAATAAGGAAACAACAGTAGGGTGACACTCAGTGTGGAAAATACAGCTGTATATTATAAGGAAAGAAACTGATTCTTAGTGTAAAATAGCTTTTGTGGTTTTTTCCTCTAATGAAGCTAATGTCTCTTTAAGAAAGTGGAGTAGCAATTTCCATTGGAGTTTTAGAGAACGTTATTTAAGGCATCCACAAGCCCTATCTAATCAAACTGGTAAAAACCCATGAGAGGTCAAAAAAGAAATCTAAAGAATCTAAAAATCCTTGGAATATACAGAGGATATTTTTACAGGGAATCTGCACATGGTAATAACCAAGAGTGCTTAGAGCTAAAGGTAGATTAATCAGAAATGTATTCAGAAGGCACAGAAGGTGGCCAACCTCTACTCAACTAATCTATGGTCTGGACACAAGGCAGGTGCTGCAGGACCTGTAAGGGAGAAGGAGAGAGCGCGCAGTGGCACTGGGATCCAGTGCTGGTTCTGCCAAAGATTGGTCATAGGCCCCAGGGGAGTCCATTCAAATCAGGATATTTTAAACACACAAATAATACATGTTTATTATGTACCTCTTCAATGAATGCTAAACATATTACTTTTCCTCCTACCCAGATTTGCCATCACAGATTTTTGGTTAGTTAACATGCTTCTTGCATGTGTGTATGTTCATAAAATTGATGTAATATGTATTATACAAAACAAAACTAACAACAAAACCCCTGAATGTGGAAATGTATAAAGAAGAAAACTCTCTAATAGTATAATCGCCTAAAGGTGACATAGTGAACTTAAGAGATGTATCTTTATAGGATTCTCATATTATATATCTTTAGGGGCGGCCAGTCAATTGATTATCATAGAAGACTATGAATGATGTCTCCTTGCACTTCAGAAAACACCTACTATATATGGTAGCTCTGTTTATGAACCTGGAACTTTTTAAATGATAAGACTTAATCATACGTGGTGTATATACTTATGTTTACCACAACTGAAATTAGGTTATGCATCATGTTCTACAACTGGCATATGTTTCCGTTTCTGTAGAACTCAGCACATGTACATCAACTGACATATATTTGGCTTCTGTACAAATCAGTACATGTACAGCTGCCTCATTCTTTAATAGCTGTAGAGTACTCCATTTACTAATGTCTCATAATTTAATTAATTTCTTTTTTAAGGATGTCTGGATTACATCTAAACATTTTTATAAAAGTGTGGTTACAACCATGAAAAGTTACGCTGGAAGATTTCAACTAGAAAATTGGACCCATAAATTATTTGTATGAAATTCTGTCTACCAAAATATTTTTAAATGAATTTAAATTAAGTAGTTTGCTATATTAATTATACAAATAATTCTGAAGGACCAGTGATGTGCTTTTGGAAAAAAAGGGAATATGGGAAAAGCTGCTTTGAGGAAAAGATACTTGCTTTTGGAAGTGTTGAACATAGTACATCCAATAAATGTGTCGATGTGGCGGAAGCACTTCATTCACAACAGGGACTATCATACTTTTCCTTTTATGTTTTCTATTGTTGAGCACATTACTCTTAAAATTGCCACATTATGTCATCCATATCATCAATAAGGTAGGCAACCCCAGCTTTGCTTTAATCTAATAATGTCAATTTTGTGAAGAAAACGGTTGAATCTACAAAAATTTGAACTTCAGATTTATGATAAGCAGTAAGAAAATATAAAACAAAGGAAAACTTTAAAATTCTGGAATGATTGTATCTTGGTTTCCTTTATGTATTTCAAAATCTCAAATTCTGTCTACCAAAATATTTTTTAAATGAATTTAAATTAAGTAGTTTGCTATATTGGCTTTTTGTGAACCAAAAAAAGAACTTGAAAGAGAATGAGTTTCAGCTCTATTATTTCATTATTCTGGTCCCTGAATAACATTTACACTCAGCCTGAAATAAATTAAGAACAAATGAAATATGTAGCTTTCAGACTTTTCTAAAGCACTCCTAAACCTAGAAGGCAAAAGTCTTTTTTTGTCCAGAAAATAGCCTAGCACAGTTTACTGTCCCTGAGACTATTATTCATCATAATAATATTTACCAGCATCTTTTGCCTTTAGGAACAAAAAAACTGATTGGAGGGTGGCATGTGTGTTATCATAATACTGATTATTGGGTGAAAAGTGTATTCATGAGCAAATCTGTTGTTGCCTAGCAACTGTTTCTAGGCAGAGTGGCTGGGAGCCAGTTGCTGTCATCTTTCAGGAGCTATCAGTCTATTTCTACATACTTTATATCTGTTTTGGATTATTTGGATTCCTGCTGTAAGGTACAGTTTTTCTTGGTGACCCCTAAGGCAGTACTAAATAGTTTGCTTTTTACCGATTGACACACTAAACGCTTACTTTCTACTCATCTCTGAATGTAAAAAATATACAGCTTTTTTACTGTAATGGAGTATAGGTCTGAAGTTGGGTACTTTAGTGTTTCTAAAAACCATTGATGTCCATTATTCTTAGGCCTAAACTAGCGCATTCCTAAGTGGTCTAGGACTGCACCCAGGTTGATACCTACTTCTGAGAGTGTAAGAAGTGGTATGAAACATGCTTCAGAAACTTCTAAGTCATCTTTGATAAATCCATTCCAGGCCTTCTTGTTGTAGTTACTCGTTTCACCACTGATCATGATTTCTTTTCTTGCCCCTGGGCCTTGCAGCAGGATAGAGCTAAGTTAACAGAAGTAAAGCAGTAGATTGTAGAGCAACTAGACGTTATGCCAGAACTTGATGAGGGACAGATGGGCCGCAGTAGTAGAGTTCAAGTCCCTCCAGGGAGAAGAGTGCTCAAAAAAATTGAAGGAGCATACAGTAAGACTGTATCCTAATACTGCTTGAGTACTTCCTGATACTCCTAGGCATTCAGCTCCTCTAATTCTGTCCAAGCTTCTTGTTCACACAGTCACTATATAAGTGTACACTTGTATTCATTCAACCATCCATTCATCCTTTTATCCCCATGGCTGCTGAGAAGTCTCATCCACTCTGCTCGCTCATTTTCATTCAGCTGTCCAGTCTCCCAACTCATTGCTATTTCTCTGCAAGCCCACTTCCTCTGTGCCCTAAGCCTTTTAACAGGGTACTCCATCACATCTTTTAAAATTGAAACCCAAGGACCTTACTTCATTTTCAGTTCCCTCCAACAGAGCCTGTTCTTTGTCCATACCTCATAAGCCAAAGCCAGGAGATAGGTTTTTATCATCTTGAGCTCCCTGTGCTACTTCCAGGCCATTTTATTATTATTTTTTTTATTATTACTATACTTTAAGTTCTTGGGTACATGTGCAGATTTGTTACATAGATATACCCGTGCCATGGTGGTTTGCTGCACCTATCAACCCATTATCGACATTAGGTATTTCTCCCAATGCTATCCCTCCTCTAGCCCCCGACTTCCGACAAGCACCAGTGTGTGATATTCCCCTCCCTGTGTCTATGTGTTCTCATTGTTCAACTCCCACTTATGAGTGAGAACCTCTGGTGTTTGGTTTTCTGTTCTTGTGTTAGTTTGTTGAGAATAATGGTTTCTAGCGTCATTCATATCCCTGCAAAATACATGAACTCATCCTTTTTTATGGCTGCATAGTATTCCACAGCATATATGTGCCACATTTTCTTTAGCCAGTCTATCACTGATGGGCATTTGGGTTGGTTCCAAGTCTTTGCTATTGTGAACAGTGCCACAATAAACATATGCATGCATGTGTCTTTATAGTAGAATTATTTATAATTCTTTGTGTATATACCCAGTAATGGGATTGCTGGGTCAAATGGTATTTCTGGTTCTGGATCCTTGAGGAATAACCACACTGACTACAACAATGGTTGAACTAGTTTATACTCCCACCAACAGTGTAAACGTGTTCCTATTTCTCTACATCCTCTCCAGCATCTGTTGTTTCCTGTCTTTTTAATGATTGCCATTCTAATGGGCATGAGATGGTATCTCATTGTGATTTTGATTTGCATTTATCTAATGACCAGTGATAATGAGCTTTTTTTTCATATGTTTATTGGCTGCATAAATGTCTTCTTGTGGGAAGTATCTGTTCATATCATTCACCCACTTTTGATGGGGTTGTTTTTTTTCTTGTAAATTTATTTGCATTCTCTGTAGATTCTGGATATTAGCCCTTTGTCAGATGGATAGACTGCAAAAATTTTCCCCTATTCTGTAGGTTGCCTGTTCACTCTGATGATAGGGTTTTTTTTTGTTGTTTTTTTATTTGTTTGTTTGTTTTTTGCTGTGCAGAAAATCTTTAGTTTAATTAGATCCCATTTGTCAATTTTGGCTTTTGTTGCCATTGCTTTTGGTGTTTTAGTCATGAAGTCTTTGCCCATGCCTATGTCCTGAGTGGTGTTGCCTAGGTTTTCTTTGAGGATTTTTATGGTTTTAGGTCTTATGTTTAAGTCTTTAATCCATCTTGAGTTAATATTTGTATAAGGTATAAGGAAGGGGTCCAGTTTCTGTTTTCTGCATATGGCTAGCCAGTTTTCCCAATATCATTTGTTTTCATGAGAAGCCTCTCTTCATTCGATAGACAATATAGGACTTAAGAGCATAGTATTTGGATGTAGATCCTTATTTTGGGATGTTCACCTTTCTGAGCCTCAATTTCCATGTCTGAAAAGAAGGATAAGAATATCATTTGGCAAAGTTGTTATGAGGATTAAATTTATCCATTCTTTTCACAAGCCTTTGTGTATTACTATGTATCAGGCACTTTTTAAAGTACTCAACAAAACAAATAATTCCTACTCTCATGAAGCTTGCAGTTTCTGGGAAGAATAAAGTTTCTTTAAAAAAGTAAATACATAAGCACAATGACAAAATCTGATATGAAAGAAAATATAACAAGTGTTTAATTGGAAGTAAATTAAGATGGTGTTGAGCTTGTTGAAAGAAAGGCTTGGTTAGGAGATGACATTTAAAATTACAATAGAAGGATAAGTAGGATTCAGGCAAAGAAGCAAAGGATAGAGGGTATTATAGACATAAGGCAGCCTGGTACTTCCTAGAGAGAAGTACCATTATGATGGGGGAGGTGTTACAGAGTGCCGTCAGAGATGTAGGCTTGGGCAGAATTTGTGTGACCTGAATATGAGGGCTATATTAGTCCATTCTCACACTGATCTGAAGAACTACCTGAGGTTGGGTAATTTACAAATCAAAGAGGTTTAATTGACTTGCATTTCTGCAGAGCTAGGAGGCCTCAGGACACCTACAATCATGGCAGAAGGGGAAGCAAACACATCGTTCTTCACATGGAGCAGCAAGGAGTAGTGCCAACCAAAGAGGCACTTACAAAACCGTCAGATCTCATGAGAACTCACTCACTGTCACTAAAACAGCAGCATGGGGGTAACCATCTCCATGATTCAGTTACCTCCCACAACATGTGGAGATTATGGGAACTACAATTCAAGATGACATTTGGGTGGAGACACAGCCAAACCATATCATTCTACCCATTGCTCCTCCAAAATCTCATGTAGTCACTCACATTCAAAACACAATCATGTCTTCCCAACAGTCCCCCCAAATCTTAACTCATTCTATCATTAACCCAAAAGTGCAAGTCCAAAGTCTTACCTGAAATAAGGAAAACCCCTTTCACCTCTGAGCCTGTAAAATCAAAAGAAGATAGTTCGTTACCTCCTAGTTACTGTGGGGTACAGGCATTGTAGGTGTAAATACACCTATCCAAAATGGGAGAAATTGGCTAAAACAAATGGGCTACAGACCTCATGCAAGTCTGAAATCCAGTGGATCAGTCAAATCTTAAAGCCCTAAAATGATCTCCTTTGACTCCATGTCTCACATCCAGGTCACCCTGATACAAGACGTGGTTTCCCATGGTCTTGGGAAGCTCAGCCCCTGTAGCTTTGTAGAGTATAACTCCCTCCTGGCTGCTTTCATGGGCTGCTGTTGATTATTGGTAGCTTTTCCAGGTGCACGGTGCAAGCTATCTGTGGATCTACCATTCTGCAGTCTGGAGGACAGTGGTCATCTTTTCACAGCTCCACTATGCAATGCCCCAGTGGAGACTCAGTGTGGGGGCTCCCACCCCACATTTCCCTTCTGCACTGCCCTACCGAGTTTCTCTACAAGGGCTCCATTCCTGCAGCACACTTCTGCCTGGACATCCAGGCATCTTCTGAATCTAGGCAGAGGTTCCCAAACCTGAATTCTTGACTTCTGTGCACCTGCAGGCTCAACACTGTGGAAGTTTCAAAGGCTTGGAGCTTGCACTCATTGAAGCCATGGCCCAAAATGTACCTTGGCCCCTTTTAGCCATGGCTGGGATGTGGGGCACCAAGTCCTGAATCTGCATACAATAGGGAGGCCCTGGACTCAGCGCATGAAACCATTTTTTCCTCCTAGGCTTCCAGACCTTTCATGGGAGGGGCTGCTGTGAAGGTCTTTGACATACTCTGGAGACATTTGCCCCACTGACTTGGGGATTAATATTTGACCCCTCGTTACTTATGCAAATTTCTGCAACAGGCTTAAATTTTTCCCCAGAAAATTGGTTTTTCTTTTCTATCACATTGTCAGGCTGCAAATTTTCCAAACTTTTATCCTCTACTTCCTTTTGAACACTTTGTCACTTAGAAATTTCTTCTGCCAGATACCCTACATCATCTCTCCCACTTTCAAAGTGCCACAGATCTCTAGGGCAGGTGCAAAATGCCACCTGACTCTTTGCTGAAGCATAGCAAGTGTGACTTTTACTCTAATTCTCAGGAAGTTTCTTATCTCCTTCTGAGACCACCTCAGCCTTAACTTCTTTGTCCATATCACTATCAGTATTTTGGTCAAAGCCATTCAGCAAGTCTCTAGGAAGTTCCAAACATTCCCACATCTTCCTGTCTTCTGAGCCTTCCAAGTCTCTGGGAAGCCCCAAACTTTCCCATATTTTCCTGTCTTCTTTGGAGCCCTCCAAACTGTTCCAACCTCTGCCTCTTATACAATTTCAAAGTCACTTACACATTTTTAGGTATTCTTATAGCAGCACCCCACTCTACTGGTACCAGTTTACTACGTTAGTCCCTTCTCACACTGCTGTGAGGAAATACCTGAGACTGGGTAACTTATATGGGAAAAAGGTTTAATTGACTTACAGTTCTGCAGGGCTGGGGAGGCCTCAGAACACTTACAATCATGGTGGAAGGGGAAGCAAACACATTCCTCTTCATATGGTAGCAGCAAGGAGAAGTGCTGAACAAAGAGGGAAAAGCCCCTTGTAAAACCGTAAGATCTTGTGAGAACTCACCCACTATCAAGAGAATAGTCATGGGGGGTCTCTCCCATGACATGTAGGGATTATGGAAAGTACAATGCAAGATCATATTTGGATGAGGACACAGCCAAACCATATCAAAGACCATATTAAGGAGTTTTACTATTATTGAGCAAAGGGGACTTGCTACCCAATGTGCTAGAAGCCGATAACATGACATCTGTTTTTTGAGAAAAGCTTTGTATTGCAAATTGACTCACAAGAGACAGAAGTCAAGTGCAAATCTTTCTCCTTGTGCTGACTTTAAGGCAGTCATTTTATTTAAAAAGATTTAGGGGGAGGATTCTGGGATTAGCAGGTGATTGGTGGAAGGAAAGGTGAGGTCTGGAAAGTCCTCAGGCATGTGCATTTACCTCTTCATGCTAACTCATGGGTCCCATGTGCATATTCAAGGGTGAGTTCATATGAAACATGCAGTGGAAATTCACAGTGATGTCAGCAGGCTCATTCTGTGCAGACTCCAATTGGTCATATTGGTTCCAACTGATATCAGCTGGCTTCATTATCTTACAAGTGGAGGGAATTTTGGTGTTTCAGCAAGTTGTTTCTCATCTGCCATCCTGCAAACTCAAGAATTTCTGTTAGTTACTGGTTTAAGTCTCTGGGGTACAGTTTCATTACTTCCATTTAAATGTAATGAGAAGCAATAATTTTAAGCAAAGGTATAATATCATTTATCTGTTTGAAAGATCTCTGAGGACAGTGCTTGGAACACAATACTTACTTGGTAAATGAAGTTATATTTACATGGGCCTTGCTTTCCAATATTTATGAGGTATAACATACTTGGGTAACAGTTTTGCTCTCTACCCCAAACTCTTGCCACCGCTCTTTAATTAGCTCAGCCAGTGCTCCCACTTCAGAAATCCTTGACATCCACAATTCCAAGGGGCCACTCTTCGGACCTTCTCTGGACCAAAGGCTTCCCTATCTGTGAAATCTTATATGCCAGTAAACTTTTAGGCCTCCAGAGTGGTAAGAAATGAGGATGAAAAGAAAGCCAAGTTGTGAAAGGTTGCTTTGAGACTAACAAAGTGGTACTTTTGATACCAGTGGGCTTGGGGGGGATCCCCAAATGCCGGTAAAACCTTGACTGCAGCCACTGTGCAGGCTCTTGATACCATTGCAAGAATTAATTCAAGGACAAGTCAGAAAATAGTGAAGGTTACAGAGATTAATTGCAAAGGGGAAAAAACACCCTCAATAAAAGGGAGTTCCGGTGTACTCAAGAGTCACTCACAAGGAGGTTTGGGGCTGTTACCTTTATGGATTTCTTTAACCAAGGAGTGGAATATTCATGAAAATTCCTGGAAAAAGGTAGATATTTCTGGGAACTGCAATGCTACCCATTTTTATACTAAATATGGGTGTTCTTGGAACTGTCATGGTACTGAGTGGGGGGCGGTGATTTAGTATGATAATGCGTGTATAGTAAGGTCCTATTTGTGAAACGTAGGTCAAATCCAGTGCCATGTTGGGTCCAGTCAGTCTTAGCCAGCTTGGTCCACATTTTGTTTTTCAGGGTTTTATCAGCCCATAGCCTCTAGTCATGTGAAACGCTGCCTGGAGTTTTTTTAATCTTCCGGAATCACCCTGTATTATTCCTGCCTCACTTTACCCTGTGGGGGGCAACACTGAACTTTATAGTTCCCTAAACACCATGGCACATGCTGTTCCCTGTGCTTGAAATGTCTCCTGTTTTCCAGGATCACCTTCAAGCTCCTAGTCATCCTGTAGATCTAGCTTGGCTCTCATCTCCTCTAGGAAGCCTTCCTTGGCAAAAAAAAGTAGTTAATCACATTACACCTTGTGTATAGCTCTTGGTGTTCTTGTGCCTTACAATAATGTTTATGGTTTTGTCTCCCTGATTTGAACTCTTTGAGAGCAAGAACGTCTATTCTTACTGTGTTCTCAGTGTCTGATGTAAGGAATTTCATCAAGATTTTTGGAGTTTTCAAGTTTCACTAAAAAATAAAATACCCTAATAAAAGTTGGCAAATCAGCTGTAAACTGCTGGCAATTTCCCTATGTAGTAATCCAAACCATGTTACTTTGCTGAAGTTTATTCAGATATCTTTGCTCTAAAACTTGGCACCAAGTTCTAAGAAAATATTCTATTTTTATTCACTTTAATACTTTGATTCAAATATAAAAATAAGTTTAAGAAGAGACAGAAGTCTCATTCCTATTTTTGCTTTTCCATTATTTTTCTCTCTAGTTGCTATAGTTTAATGTTTGTATTCATGTATTCATGTATTTCTCCTGGTATTTCTTTACGCAAATATAAATGTATTATTTTTTTCTCCTTTCTTACATAAAAATAGTCTAGAATATACACTATTTTATTCTTTGCTCTTGTTGTAACATAAAAATTTATTCTGGGCTAGGCATGGTGGCTCACGCCTGTAATCGCAGCACTTTGGGAGGGCGAGGCAGACAGATCACCTGAGGTCAGGAGTTCAAGATCAGCCTGACCAACATGGTGAAACCCCATCTCTACTAAAAACACAAAAATTAGCTGGGCGTGGTGGCACACCCCTGTAATCCCAGCTACTTGGGAGGCTGAGGCAGGAGAATCACTTGAACCCGAGAGTTGGAGGTTGCAGTGAGCTGAGATCGCACCACTGTACTCCAGCCTGGGCAACAAGAGTGAAACTCTATTTAAAAAAAAAAATTATTCTGGAAAGTCTGGGCACAGTGGCTTATACCTGTAACCATCCCAGCACTTCGAAATGGGAGGATTGCTTGAGCCCAGGAGTTCAAGACCAGCCTGAGCAATATAGTGAGACCTCATCTCTACAAAATAATTTTAAAGTTAGCAGGATGTGATAGCCCACATCTGTAGTCCTGGCTACTCAGGAGGCTGACATGGGAGAATCACTTGAGCCCAGGAGGTGGAGGTTGCAGTAAGCAGAGATCGTGTGACAGAGTGAGACCCTATTCTGGAGATGTTTCCAAGTCAGTACTAGATAGAATTATTCCTTTTTCTTTTTTGCAGATGCATAGTTTTCTATTGTATAGATATACTGTGATTTATTCAACCAGTCCCCTACTGCTGGATACTTGTGTTCTAATGTTTTGCTTTATAAACAAAAAAATGACAATTGTTTGTACAACTATCATATTAGCACAGATACTATCTATTTATCTAATATACAGTCATGCAAAAAACTGCATTAAAATGTTTTGGTCAATGATTGACTGCATATACTATGGCCATCACATAAGATCATAATACTATATTTTTTACTGTAACTTTTCTATGTTTAGATACACAAATACTTAGATAGTGTTACAATTGCCTATGGTATTCATTACAGTAACATGTGTTACAGGTTTGTAGCCTAGGAGCAATAGGCTAACCTAACTTTCTTCTAGGTTTGTGTAGGTACACTCTGTGAATTCACACAATGACTAAATCTCCTAATAATACATTTCTCAGAACGTATTCGTAATATCTATGAGAATCCTATAAATAAATCAAAGGTAAATGCATCTGAAATTTTAGTAGATATTTCTAGAAACCCCTTCCTGATGGCTATTTCATTTTTCTTTTTTAAAAGTTTTTATTTAATTATAATTTTATTTTTTAGTTTTCCATAAGTTATTGGGGTACAGGTGGTATTTGGTTACATAAGTCCTTTAGTGGTGATTTGTGAGATTTTGGTGTACTCTTCATTTGAGCAGTATACACAGCACCATATTTGTATTCTTTTATCCCTCACTGCCCTCCCAGTTTTCCTCTAATGTTCCCAAAGTCCATTGTCATTCTTATGCCTTTGTGTCCTGATAGCTTTGGTCCCACATATCAGTAAGAAGACATGATGTTTGGTTTTCCATTCCTGAGTTCCTTCACTTAGAATAATAGTCTCCAATCTCATCCAGGTCACTGCAAATGCTGTTAATTTATTCCTTTTTATGGCTGCATAGTATTCCATCATATATATATATATATACACACACACATACACACACACACACACACACACACACACACACCACAGTTTCTTTATTCACTCATTGATTGACAGGCATTTGGGTTGGTTCCATGACTTTGCTATTGTGAATTGTGCCACTATAAACATGTGTGCAAGTATCTTTTTCAAATAATGACTTATTTTCCTCTGGGTAGATACCCAGTAGTGAGTAGTTCTACGTTTAGTTCCTTAAGGAATCTCCACACTCTTTTCCATAGAAGCTGTACTAGTTTACATTCACACCAGCAGTGTAGCGGTGTTCCTGTTTACCATATCCAAGCCAACATCTACTGTTTTTTTTATTTTTTATTATGGTCATTCTTGCAGTAGTAAGGTGGTATCACTTTGTGGTTTTGATTTGCATTTCCCTGATTGTTAGTGATGTTGAGCATTTTTTTCATATGTTTGTTGGCCATTTGTGTATCTTCTTTTGAGAATTGTCTATTCATGTCCTTAGCCCACTTATTGATGGGACTGTTTGTTTTTTTCTTAATGATTTGTTTGAGTTTACTGTAGATTCAGGATATTAATCCTTTGTCAGATGTATAGATTGTGAAGATTTTCTCCCACTCCGTGGGTTGTCTGTTTGCTGTTCCTTTTGCCATGTAAAAGTTCATTAGTTTAATTAGGTCCCAGCTATTTATCTTTGTTTTTATTGCATTTTCTTTTGGGTTCTTGGTCATGAAATCTTTGTCTAAGCCAATGTCTGGAAGGGTTTTATGAATGTTGTCTTCCAGAATTTTTAGTTTCAGGTCTAAGTCCTTAATACATCTTGAGTTGATTTTTGTATAAGGTGAGAGATGAGGATCCAGTTTCATTCTCCTACACATGGCTTGCCAAATATCCCAGCACCATTTGTTGAAAAGGGTGTCCTTTCCCCACTTTATGTTTCTGTTTGCTTTGTCAATGATCAGTTAGTTGAATGTGTTTGGGTTTATTTCTGGGTTCTCTATTCTGTTCCATTGATCTATGTGCCCATTTTTATACCAGTACCATTCTGTTTTGGTGACTATGGCCTTTTAGTATAGTTTGAAATCAGGTAGTATGATGCCTCCAGATTTGTTCTTTTTGTTTAGTCTTGCTTTGGCTCTGTGGGCTCCTTTTTGGTTCCACATGAATTGTAGGATTATTTTATCTAATTATGTGAAGGATGATGATGGTATTTTGATGGGGATTGTGTTAAATTTGTTTATTGCTTTTGGCAGTATGGCCATTTTCACAATATTGATTCTACCCGTCCATGAGCATGGGATGTGTTTCCATTTGTTTGTGTTGTCTATGATTTCTATCAGCAGAGTTTTGTAGTTTTCCTTGTAGAGGTCTTTCAATTCCTTGGTTAGGTATATTCCTAGGTATCTTTTTTTTGGAACTATTGCAAAAGGGGTTGAGTTATTGATTTGATTCTCTGCTTGGTCACTGTAGGTGTATAGAAGAGCTACAGATTTGTGTACCTTAATCTTGTATCTGGTAACTGCCGAATTTTTAAATTAGTTCTAGGAGCTTTCTGGAGGAGTCCTTAAGATTTTTGAGTTAAACAATCGTATTATCAGCAAACTGTGCCAGTTTGATTTCCTCTTTACCAATTTGGATGCCTTTTATTTCTTTCTCTTGCCTGATTGCTCTGGCTAGGACTTCCAGTACTATGTTGAGGGAGTGGTGAGAGTGGGCATCCTTGTCTTGTTTCAGTTCTCAGAGGGAATGCTTTCAACTTTCCCCATTCACTGTTATGTTGGCTGTGACTCTCATAGATGGCTTTTATTACCTTAAGGTATGTCCCTTGTATGCTGATTTTGCTGAAAGTTTTAATTATAAAGTGATGCTGGATATTGTCAAATTATTTTTCTGCATCTATTAAGATGATCATTTGATTTTTGTTTTCCATTTTGTTTATGTGGTAAATGACAGTTATTGACTCACGTATATTAAACCACCCTGCATCCCTGGTATGAAACCCACTTGATCATGGTGGATTATCTTTTTGACATGCTGTTGGATTCAGTTAGCTAGTATTTTGTTAAGGATTTTAGCATCAATGTTCATCAAGGATATCAGTCTGTAGTTTTCTTTTTTTGTTATGTCCTTTCCTGGTTTTGGTATTAGGGTGATGTTGGCCTCATAAAATGAATTAGGGAGGGTTCTTTCTTTCTTTATCTTGTGGAATAGTGTCAAAAGGATTGGTACCGATTCTTCTTTGAATGTCTGGTAGAATTCTGCTGTGAATCCATCTGGTCCTGGACCTTTTTTGTTGGTAATTTCTTAATTACCACTCCAATCTTGCTGCTTGCTATTGGTCTATTCAGGGTATCTAATTCTTCCTCATTTAAACTAGGAGGATTGTATTTTTCCAGGAATTTATCCATCTCTTCTGGTTTTCTACTTTATGTGTGTAAAGGTGTTCATAGTAGCCTTAAATGATCTTTTGTATTTCAGTAGTGTCAGTTGTAATATCTCCTGTTTTGTTTCTTAGTGAGGTCATTTGGATTTTCTCTCTTCTTTTCTTGGTTAATCTTGCTAATGATCTATCAATTTTATCTTATCATATTTTTTTGAGACAGAGTCTTGCTTTTTTGCCAGGTGCCAGGCTTGAGTGCAGTGGTGCAATCTTGGCTCACTGCAACCTCTGCCTCCAGGTTCAAGCAATTCTTCTGCCTCAGCCTCCCAAGTAGCTGGGACTACAGACGCATGCCACCACCCCAAGCTGATTTTTGTATTTTAGTATAGACAGGGTTTCACCTTTTTTGCCAGGATGGTCTCAATCTCTTGACCTCATGATCCACCTGCCTCAGCCTCCCAAAGTGCTGGGATTACAGGCATAAGCCACCATGTCTGGCCTTATCTTTTTTTTTCTTTTCTAGACACAGAGTTTCACTCTTGTTGCCCAAGCTGGAGTGCAATGGTGCAATGTTGGCTCACTGCAACCTCCGCCTTCTGGGTTCGAGCAATTCTTCTGTCTTGGCCTCCTGAGTAGCTAGGATTACAGGCATGCGCCACCATGCAGGGCTAACTGCATTTTTAGTAGAGATGGGGTTTCACCATGTTGGTCAGGCTGGTCTTGAACTCCCAACCTCAGGTGATCCACATGCCTCAACCCCCCAAAGTGCTGGGATTACAGGCATGAGTCACTGCACTCATTATTTATCTTTTCAAAGAACCAGTTTTAACTTTCATTTTTTTGTTTGTTTGTTTCAATTTCATTTAGTTCTTCTCTCAACTTGGTAATTTCCAATTTCCTTTCTTCTGCTGGGTTTGGGTTTGGTTTGTTCTTGTTTCTCTAGTTCCTTGAGGTGTGACCTTAGAATGTCAGTTTGTGCTCTTTCAGTGTTTTTGATGTAGGTGGTTAGGGCTATGAGCTTTCCTCTTAGCATCACCTTTGATGTATCCTAAGGTCTTGATAGGTTGAGTAATTATTATCATTCAGTTCAAATAATTTTTAGATTTCCATCTTTGGTTTTGACCCACTGTTCACTAAGGAGCAAGTTATTTAATTCCCAGGTATTTGCATCGTTTTGAAGGTTCCTTTTGGAGTTGATTTCCAGTTTTCTTTCACTGTGGCCTGAGAGAGTGCTGGATATAATTTCAGTTTTCTTAAATTTATTGAAGTTTGTTTTATGACCTATCATATGGTCTATCTTGGAGCAGGTTCTATGCACTGTTGAATAGAATGTGTATTCTGTGGTTGTTGGATGAAATGTTCTGTATATATCTGTAAAGTTCATTTGTTCCAAGGTATATTTTAAATCTATTGCTTCTTTGTTGACTTTCTGTCTTGATGGCTGATCTAGTGCTGTCGGTGGAGTATTGAAATACCCCACTATTACTGTGTTGCCATCTGTCTCATTTCTTAGGTCTATTAGTAATTGTTTCATAAATTTGTGAGCACCAGTGTTAGTTGCATATATGTTTAGGACTGTGAAATTTTCCTGTTGAACAAGGCCTTTTACCATTATAGAATGTCCCTCTTTGTCTCTTTTAACTGCTGTTGCTTTAAAATTTGTTTTGTCTGATATAAGAATAGCTACCTCTGCTTACGTTTGGTGTCCATTTGCATGAAATGCTTTCTTCCACTCCATTACTTTTTCTAAATGTGTGGCCAAAGTTTCCAGAATTTTTTATTGTATTTTCTTTAAGCTATCTATTTCTTGGAATATTTCTCTTTTCACTTCTTGTATCAGTTTTTGGATTGCCTTGCATTGGGCTTTGCCCTTCTCTGGTCCCTCCCTGATTAGCTTAACTAACCTCCTGAATTCTTTTTCAGGTAAATCAGGGTTTTCTTATTTGTTTGGGTCCATTGCTGGTAAACTAGTGTGATTTCTAGGGGGTATTGAAGAACCTTGTTTTGTCCTATTACTAGGGTTGGTTTTCTGGTTCCTTCTCATTTGGGTAGGCTCTGTCAGAGGAAAGGTCTAGGGTTGAAGGCTGTTGTTCAGATTCTTTTGTCCCACAGGTTGTTCCCTTGATGTAGTACTCTCCCTGTTTTTCTGTGGATATGGCATCCTGTGAGCTGAGCTGCAGTGATTGTTGTCTCTCTTCTGAGTCTAGCCACCCAGAGATTCTGCCCGGCTCTGGGCTGGTACTAAAGGTTGTCTTCAGAGTCCCATGATGTGAACCATCTATGGGTCTCTCAGCCATGGATACCAGCACCTGTTCCGGTGGAGGTGGCAGAGGTTGCAATGAACCATGAGGGTTCTTAGCTTTGGTGGCTTAATGCTCTATTTTTGTGCTGCTTGGCTTCTTTCCAGGAGGGGGTGCTTTCCAGAAAGCATCAGCTATAGCAGTAGAGAGAGGGATCAGTGGTGGTTGGGGCCCTAGAATTCTCAAGATTATATGCCTTTTGTCTTCTGCTACCAGGGTGGATAGGGAAGGACCATCAGGTGGGGGTAGGGCTAGGTGTGTCTGAGCTTAGACTCTCCTCAGGTGGGTCTGGCTGTGCCTGCTGTGGGGGCTGGGGGGTGAGATTCTCAGGTCACTGGAGTTGTGTACCTAGGAGGATTATGGCTGCCTTTGTTGAATCATGCAGGTTATAAGGGAAGTGGGGAAAGCTGACAGTCGCAGGCCTTACCCAGCTCCCACGCAAACTGAAGGTCTCACTCCCACTGTGCCTCCCCTGACCCCGTGACAGGCCCCAGTCTGTTTCCAGGCAGAGAGCATGAGAGGCTTAAAACCTTTCCCTGGGCTACCCACCTCTCAGCTGGAAAAGAAAAAGGCTTGACTCTTCCCACCTGTGGAGTCTGCACACAGGATTTGAGTTCTGGCCAGGAGGCTTCTCACCCCATTCAAATTGTTACAAAGCTCAGCTAGAGAATTCCTTCTCCCTGTGGAGTTTTACCCCCTGCTCCTCTGGTCACCTTCACGATGGATCCCTGTGGTGCCAGGCAGGAATGGCCTGCTAGGGAATGCAGCAAGCTCCCTGGGCCTTTCTGCTGCTTCCTCTACCACCGTATTTCACTTGGCTCTCTAAATCACTCAGCTCCAGGTAAAGTCAGAAATTTCTTCCACAAACAGACCTTCAGCTTCTCCAGTGGGGATGTGTGTTTGGGAGAGGAGAGTCTCCCTTTCCCAGTTCTGCAGTTGGGGCACTTACAGTATTTTTGGTGTAATACTGCAAAAGTGTGGGTCCTGCAGGAGCAGTCCACTTCCTTCAGAGTGTCTGTGGGTCCTCTTGGGATTACTGGTTTGTTTTTGTAGTCAATCTGGAGCTGAAATTCAAATGCGAGCTTCTGCAAGCTGCTCTGTCCACAGCTGCAATCTAGTCCTGCTTTCCATCCGCCATGATCTCCTGCTTTTGTTGTTGTTTTCATTATTCCATTTTTCTACTCCTACCAGCAATGTTTGAAAGTGTCTGTTTCCCCATAGCCTATCCAATAATGTGCTATAGGAGTTCTGGATTTTGCCAATGGATAGTTGAGGAATTCTGTCTCAGTGTACTATTAATTAGCACTTTTATTGGTGAAGTTTAGCATCATCTCGTTTTTTAGTAGCTATTTGTATTTTTTTTCTGTGAACTATTCATTCATATCCTTTGCTCACTTATCTATAAAGTTGGCCTTTTCATTCTAGATGTTTTTATATGTGAGAATACATATAAGCACTCAGTTTAGGCTATGAATTGCAAATGTCTTTTCTATTTGTCATTTATGTTTTGATTTTGCTAATTGGATATTTTCGACATACATAAATGTTTGGTTTATATGTGTTTACATTTGACTATTATGCTATTCTGATTTTTTTTTTTAATTTTAAGTTCCAGGATACATGTGCAGGAAGTGCAGGTTTGTTGTATAGGTAAACGTGTGCTATGGTGGTTTGCTGCACCTATCAACCCATCACCTAGGTATTAAGCCCTGCGTGCATTAGCTATTTATCCTGATGCTCTCCCTTCCCCCATCCTCCATGACAGGCACCAGTGTGTGTTCTCCTCCCTGTATCCATGTGTTTTCATTGTTCAGCTTCCACTTGTGAGAACATGCAGTGTTTGGTTTTCTGCTCCTGTGTTAGTTTGCTAAGGATAATGGGTTCCAACTCCGTCCATGTTCCTACAAAGGGCATGATCTAGTTTGGTTTCTATGGCTGCAGTATTCCATGGTGTATATGTACCACATTATCTTTATCCAGTCTATCATTGTTGGTCATTTGGGTTGATCCCATGTCTTTGTTATTGTGAATAGTGCTGCAATGAACAAACCAAGCAACTACCCAGATTTTGATTGATAGTTAAAAAGGTCTTGGCCAGGCCAGGCACAGTGGCTGGCACCTGTAATCCCAGGACTTTGGGAGGCTCAGGCAGGCAGATCACTTGAGACCAGGAGTTCAAAACCAGCCTGTCCAACATGGTGAAACCCTGTCTCTACTAAAAATATAAAGATAAGCCAGGCATGGTGGCGGGTGCCTGAGGCAAAAGAATTGCTTGAATCCAGGAAGTGGAGGTTGCAGTGAGTTGGGATTACCTCACTGCACTCCAAAGTGAGACAATGTCTCAATTTAAAAAGAAAGAAAGAAAGGTCTTGGCTAGGCTCCATGGCTCTTCCCTCTAATTCCAGTGCTTTGAGAGGCTGAGGTGGGAGGATTGCTTGAGCCAGGCATTTGAGACCAGTCTGGGAAACAGAACAAGGCTCCATCACTGCAAAAAATTTAAAAATATTTTTAATTAAGGAAGAAAGGTCTTCCCATGATTCTAATATCATCTGTGTTGCTTTCTAATTTTTTTTCTTTGAGAGGGTGTCTCACTCTATCACCAGCCTGGAGTGCAGTGGTGCATTCTCAGTTCATTGCAACCTCCAACTCCCCAGTTCAAGTGATTCTCCTGCCTCAGCCTCCTGAGTAGCTGGGATTACAGGCACGTGCCACCATGCCCAGTTAATTTTTGTATTTTTAGTAGAAACAGTATTTCACCATCTTGGCCAGGATGGTCTTGATCTCCTGACCTCGTGATCTGCCTGCCTCGGCCTCCCAGAGTGCTGGAATTACAGGCATGAACCACTGCACCCAGCCGTTTTCTAATACTTTAATCATTTCATATTTTTACATTCAAATTGTTGCTCCATTTGGGCTTATTTCTGTATCCCCATAACATTGTATGAGTGCAGATCTGGCTTTCTTTTCTTTCAACTTGCCACTCCATTTTTCCAGCACTCTTCATTTCTTTAAAAGTCCATCTTAACCTTGCTTTGGCATGCAGTCTTCATTGTACACTAAATCCCCATACGCATTCCAGTCTTTCTCCGGACTTTCTGCTCTGTTTCATTAGTTTGTCTTTTCATAAGCCAATCCTACACTCTTAATTATTGATGCATTATAGTATGTTTAAACCCCTAATAAGAATAGTACTCTTATTGCTTTTTTTTTTTTTTATCAGTATTTACCAGACTATTCTTTGTTCACTTTTTCCCCACAGGAATTTTATAATTGGTTTGTCTAGTTCGAGGAAAACAAAATCTGTATTTTTTGTTATTGTTCCTTAGCAACTTGTAAATGTAATACAACTGCTTTATGATAATGAGTCTGTCTGTCAAAGAACACAGTCTTTACATTTGTCTAAGTTAACTTTTGTATCCTTTTTATTAGAAACTTTCTTCTCTAGGTTCTGAATATTTCTTAATTATTAATACTTTGTCATTTGTTGTTATTCATATGGGATTTACTTGCCCATTATTTATAAGTCATTATTTACAGATATGAAGACTCTTAATTTCTGTATATTAATAATTTTATATCTTGCTACTTTGCTGAATTTTCTTATAATCATTTTCATTTGGTATCTGTTGGATTTTTCAGGTGTGCAATCATGACATCTGAAAATATAGAATTATATTTTTCCCCCAACTTTTATGCCTCTACTTTTCTATTGGAGATATAGGCAATCAATTCGAGAATGTTAACAAGTAGTGGTGATTGTGGGCATCTTTGTCTAGTTTAGGAAGAATATCTTCAGTATTTCTCCACTAGGAAATGGGCTAGCCTTAGAGTTAAAATAAAATATGAGTGCTTTTTAAAAAATCAAGCACTTCTTTTCTGTCATCAATCTGGGACTTATCTCAACATAGTAATACTTTTTTTTCCAGATTAATAGGATGTTGGATCAGCACCATTTTAAAAATAATCTATCTTATCTCCTTTGTACTGAAATATCATTTTTGTTATATATTAAATATCTATTTCTGAGCGCTCTATTCTATTCTTCTGACTTATCTTTTTTTAAGCCAAAACCAAGGCTAGCCCATTTCCTAGCCTTCTCCACTAGGAAATGGGCTAGGCTTAGAGTTAAATTAAAATATGAGTGCTTTTTAAAAAATCAAGAATAGTTTTTATTTTTATTAAATTCCTTTTAGCAACTATAATTGTAAGCATAATTTTTCTCCATAAATTTATTAATATGGTAAATTACATTAATATATTTTGTATTTCTGAGTTATTTTTGCATTCTTACACAAGTGTTGAGAAGGAATCTCACTTGATTATGGTATATTATTCTCTTAATGTGCTACTTTGTTAATATTTTAAGTCTTCTGAATTGATATTCATAACTAAAGTCAATAATTCCTTTTTGCAATCTATCAGGCTTTAATATCAATGTTATAACTTATAGTCTGGAAGTTTTTATTTTTCTAAAATCTGGGACAGTTCAAATAGTAATACCTACTCTCTAAAGATTCCTCTGTGAGACTAGATGGTACATTTGGAGTTGAGGGGATATTTGCAACATATATAAGCAAAATTAAGCTAATTTGCAACCTCTTTTTTAGGATTTTCCTCAATTCCAACACAAAATTTCAGTATTATCTTATGGTGTTTGACCTTGATATTTTAAAATATGCTTATGCTTCTACAATCGATTAATTTCTATAGTGATTGAGCACGATGGAATTTCTAAGTCTACTGGGGTGAGTTTTGAATGATTTCATTTTCCTGGAAAAATCATTCGTTTCGTCATCCAAATTTTCAAATTTATTTGCACAGAGTTGTGCAAAGCAGCTTCGTAATTCCTTTTGTTTCTGTTATTCTTTTCGTCTTCTCATTTCTTTTTTTTTTTCTAACCATTTGCTGTATTTTAGTTTGGAAAGTAAATTTATGTGTCTTATTTTCAGTGTATTTCTATCTGTTTCTCCTTGTATATTTTATAGCTTTGACTTCTTGCAAGTAATTGCTAAGTTGTTTGGTATATAGATATTCATAACTTATCTTCCTTGTGAGTTCTCATACTTGGCATTTTTAAAAAAGTCTTACGAATGGCTTTTGGGTTTGAGTTCTGTATTTATGATATTAAAATCACTGCCTATGCTTTCTTGTGGTTCATATTTGTTCATACTGTTATTTTTTATCTTAACTGAATTGCATTGTCTTAGAAGTATCTCTTGTATACAACACAGGGCTACATTTTACTTTATGATAGAAGTATATGACTTATTTCATGCACACAAACTCCAAAGGTCACATCTAACTATGTTCCACTGGTCAAAGCAAGTTACCTGGCAGTCTAGACTGAAAGAGTAGAAATAACCTTTACTCCTAGGGAGAAGTTACACAATATTGTGCCCATTTGGGTGGGGAATGGATATACTCCAGGCTGTGAGATGGCATGCCTGTGTAAGAGCTAACTGGGGAGTGTAGAAGATATCTGTGTCTGGAGGCAGCTCTCCTACCTGACCAAACTATGTAGCAGGGAGACACTCTCGCTACTTTTCTAAGGCTTACTTAAGAACCATACATGCACTGGAAGGGAAAGCCAGCATTTCAACTTGTGCTCCTCAGAGTACATTGATGGCTATTCAGTGTTAACTGCAAAAGCAGGGACAGCCAACATAGAGGGGACATTTTCCCAGTCACGGAAGGGGACATTTTCTCTCCTCTCTGCCTCTCTTTTGCCCCAATTACGGAAGAGCTACAAAGAGTATAGGAGGTATCTGGGAACCAGACCCTTGCCCTTCCTTCTCACTCTAAGCTGACATAACTACAGCTTTTGCATAAGTTAAGGGAGGGTAGGAGAAGAGCTAACAATCAGAATAATGTATTTCTAATGGTTGAAAATCATTAAAGGAGTCTCTCCACAGGAAGAAAGAATTTAATAAAGTACAGACATGAAAAAGAAAATAGAAAGCAGAGGTAGTAGATGAAAGAAAGAAGGGGGGCATAATTAATATAATATAATGAATACGGTAACTAATAGATTAGAATACAAGAGCGAAAGGTCCTAGAGGAAGTTGGATGGGCCGGGATCAATACAGCCAGGACTTGAACAGGAGGAAACAAATTTCATCTTCTAAGACTGGAGGAAAAGTTATTAAGAACTGATATGTACACAGGTGATTGTGCAAACAGGAGTCTGGAAAGCTGGTAACTTCAATTTTTTTAATGAAGTAGGAAGTAAGAATATCTGCTGAGAAAGAGAGCAGCTTGAACATTGATGAGGTTTAGAATGGTCATTGGAATACGAAGGGTGAAATTAACCTAAACGGAATAGATTAAACATACTTTTCTCTGTATTTTTATAGCTAGCAACAAGCTATAAAAGAGGGAAAAAGCTATACATGAGGAAAACAATTTTAAAGGACCAGCTGGAAAAAAATAAAATGATATATAAGGACATCAAATAGTAAATTTTTAGATATATTTACTGTCATAAAAACATGAATGACCCCCAAATTAAGTAAATATAATAAAATTCCAATTTAAATTTGTGTAGGGTTTGGAAGGAACTGGATAAAGTGACCTTAAAGGCTACATGGAATAATTAACGCAAAAAAGAAAACTGTTGAGGAAGGACTTGCCTCACCAGATTGGAGCATATCATGACCTCCTTACTGGCTTTGGTTTTGGCTTAAAAAAAGATAAGTCAGAAGAATAGAATAGAGAGCTCAGAAATAGATATTTGATATATAACAAAAATGATATTTCAGTACAAAGGAGATAAGATAGATTATTTTTAAAATGGTGCTGATCCAACATCCTATTAATCTGGAAAAAAAAGTATTACTATATTGAGATAAGTCCAGATTGATGACAGAAAAGAAAAAAGAAATAATAGATTTTTAAAATATACAGACATACACAAACATTCTTCAAGTTGTTAATTAACCAAGATAGGACCTAATAGGACCTAGAAGTTATAAAGGACAAGACACACATAATTTCAAAATCAAAATGATTAAATTTAAATAAAAAGGAAATGTTATGCTTTAATGACTTTTAAAAAGGGAATGATAAATTAGGGGAAATTATTTATTTGAAACACATGATAGAGAAGATTTGGACTATACAACAGTGCTTACAAATGGTTAAAACATAAATAAGCAAAAAGAAACAATGGGCAAATGAGATTTGCAGAAGAGGAAATCCAATGGCCAATAAACATGAAACCATGCTCAACCTTGCTGGGAGTTAGGGACATGCAAATAAAATAACACCAGTATATCATGTTATAGCCATTAGATTAGCAAAAATTGACACTGAAAATTGCTGCTGAAGAGATTTCAGGAGAAGAGTACTCTCATATATGTGGAAATGTTCATTGTTTCAGTCTTTTAGAGATCTGGTATTATCCATTGTAATTAAAAATACATTTACCTATCGCATCATAGAAATCTATCCCATAGAAATAAAATCACTACTAGGTAGGGTATACACAGTTATGTTTATTGCATCATTGTTTGTATTAATGGAAGACTGGAGACAGAGTGAGCGCCCCTCAGTAGACAAATGGCTCAATGTACTCTATTATGGCACACTGATATCATTAGTATCATTAAAAAATCAATTAAAGAAATCAATTTGGTTCTTAGTAAGGACTTCCCCTGATCGGCCCTCTTTTCATACTCACCACAACCTTAAGTGGTAGGTGGTAATAATTTTACAGAGTAGGAAACTGAAGCACAGAGAGTTTTTAAAAACATACCCAAGGCCTCACAGGACCTCATTCAAAATCACTCTATTTTCTCTTTATGCCAGTTGACTTGGAGAGATTTTGAAATATATCGTTCATAAATATGAAAACCTTAATATAGAAAAGTATATGAAATATCACATTATTATAAAACAAATGACTCCCTAAACTTGTGTACACACACACACACACACACACACATTCTTACACACACACACACACATCACAGGATGCTATATATCTAGAATAGGTTTGTACTCCAGAAAAGAAGGTTAAATATTACGTTGTTAACATTTTTACTTATGGAAGAACTACATTTACTATTTGTGATAAAAAAAAATTATGGATATAATTTCATAAAGCTATGTATAAAGGAATGACCACCTTTCATGATTATCTGATAGGGGGATGGATTCTATGTGATTTTTATTTTTACCTTTGTTTTAAATTTCTTAATTGTATTTTTTAATTAGCATGCATATTTTAGGGAAGGGGAGACTATATCCATGGTGGGAAAAATTTACATTCATGGGGACAGAAAAATGATAAATTTATAAATTCAAGACTATGTCTCCCATGTCTCTAGAACTTAAAAGAAATTAATGCTAACAAGAAAAGGTTTAGTTATTACACATAATACTTAAAATGTAAGGCTCCAAACATCAGGTCTTGAAAGCAGCGATTTTCAGCAGAAGGAAAATTTGATCTACATTTTAGTATATGCAGACCTCTCAAACAAGCAGTTTCATTTAAAAAATTGGTAGCATATTTCTCACATTAACAAATTTGAAGTAAATTTAACAGTGTGTTCCACCTACTGAATAGGAAAAGGTAAGAATTTATATATAGATTCTATGTAAATATTTATATACTTTAAAGGAATTTTACCATAAACAAGCTGTACTTACATTACTTTTAATGATATTGATTAAATTGTAAATTCCTGAGGGGATTCACAGAATCATGTTATCATTTAAGAAGTTTTTTTCTTTTTTGATTCTATTATCTCTGGCTATCATCACCTTGGCATTATGCAGACCCTGTGGTGGGGAGAAAGAGTGGACCCAGGTCCCAAAGTTCTCCCTGAATGGCAGAGCATGCATAAGAGGCAGATCTAAGGTTCTGAGGCAGAGCAGATATGATCACAGGGCAGAAGCCTCACAAAAGCAGGGGAAATGTCCCTATTTGAAGTCGGGAGTGGGCACAAGAATTTCTGTTGCTATTCATTTTGGAGGGAAGACTGCTGGAGAAGG